TCATTCGTCTCTTTCCTTTGTTTATCCCTTGGGCTTCTCATCGAAGTGAAACCATGCAGTCGTTAAGCTTCTGTGTCCGATTTATTTCGCTTCAAATGACGGTTGCGGGGCACCCGCTTTCCTACAAATGACCCAAGTGAGTCCTTCCTTGGAGCAGAATCATACTCCACGGTGGACCGAGATCAGCTGCTCTGCCCGGCCCATGCGCTGACGGACGTAGACCGGTTCCATATCCCGCTCATAAGGGTGTGGCGCCGTACACGTGGTCGGCTTGTGGCATTGTAACAAGATGCTCTTTACTCTTCGTGGAAGATGTGTAGCAGGGAGAGCCCGGGTCCAGTGGAATTTCCTGGTTTGCCTCAGTGAGGAGCCTCTGTGCTGATTCCCACAGTGTTCTACATCCCACCGTCAGTGGAGAAATGTTCCCTTTTCCCTGCAGCCTCGCCAGCATTTGCTATTATTTGATTTCTTGGTGATGAGCCCTCTTTCTGGAGTAAGACGTGCAAAGTGGAGGGTCAGTGTGGCTGTCGTCTCCATTTCCCTGAGAGCCAGCAGTGTTGAAGAGGCTTTAGGGATTAGCAAGGGCTCTGTTAAGGAGGAAGTGCCGTGTGCTGCTGAGATGAATGTGTATTCTGGGGAAGTCGGGAGAACACACTGTAAATTTCCATTGAGCCCATTTGTCCAAAGCCGTGCTTGGGCTCTGAGAGATCATCCTGAATGCTTGCTTTAGGAGATCTATTTGTGAGAGTGGGTTATTGCGGTCACCCACTGCATTGTGTTGGTTTTTATTTGGGCCTCTGTGACAGTAGTGTTTGTTTTTATGGTCTGGGTGCACTGATACTCGGTGCGTGTGTATTTTCTGAGTTGAGGTTGTAAATTGCATGTGGCAAGTCGCTTTGTTACAATATGGAGACCTCTCTAGGAGCTGACTACTTTGCAGAGATGTCTTCCGGGCAGCGCTGGCCTTGGGCCTTTGAGTCTGGCCCAGGACCCTGTCTCTTCCGTTTATTAGGGGTGGAAGGTTGCGTCCTGTGTGGTTAGCACCTAGTTGTCTGGTACTGGGCTGTGCTATTGTTTCATGACCCCCAGACAATCTAGGTATTGTCATACAGGGAAGATCAATGGATGACGACAAGTATGTCGTCCTGGCTGAATTGTACAATCGGTGAGAACACTAGCAGCAAACAGACTAGAGAATGACAATGTGACAACTAATAATTTGCCCCTTTTACCCTAGGTACAGGATTTATGGTTATATAACAAAATCTAAGACAAATCAGAAAATCATACACAGTAAATATGGTTTCAATAGAGTGAATTGGCCCAGAGGGGACAAGATTGAAAATGGAGAGTAAAAAATAGAGAAATGAAAGAAGATAAACAGATTAGGAGCAAGGCTAAAGGACAGAGGAGCATTACCCAGGAAACCGGTGACAGGTCCAAGAAGGAAGAAAAGAAGGAAAAAGTAAAAAGAAGAATAAAACAAAACAAAAAACTAACAATGTTCATATTTGACAAAACCCCTTCAAAAACAGAAAAAATATAGAGAACAGACAAAAAAACCATAATGAGTAAAAATAAAGAAAAGAAAATATAAAAGGAAAAAGAAAAGAAATTTCTCCGTGATTGTAAGCCTGTGGTTATCTTCTGGGGGCACAGTTTTGTAGCAGTGTCTAATTCAAGGGCGACTCTGCCCTCGCTGGTACACACAGCAGGCAGTCAAAGGCCAGGCCTGTGCTGAGTCATCACCAGCAGCCCAGAAGTAAGACTAGGGTGGGTGCTGATTCTGGCCTTTCACACCCATGGAAATTCAGCAGAGTCTACCTCTGGTCATGGGGGTGGGGCCTCAGTCGTTCAGCCTATATCATTCTGGTTTTTCTTGCTGGGCTGACCACCCTTCCCTGACCATGGACGTCTCCTGTGGGTGTCCCTCACCCAGTCACTGTGGGAATTTAACACTGGGATCCCTGAGATGAAGCCGACCCACAGCTGCTCTGAGTCCCAGGTTCAGTTGGGCCCTACCCAGAATGTCACCTATCTGCCCAGCCTCCATCTGCAGGGAACATCTGTGCCACTTACCTGGGGAGTTGAGGTCATCTACATTCAAAGTTGCTTCTGAAGCAGTTCGACTCATTCCTGCCACTGCACTCTGTTTGTGTCGTTGACTCCTCTTTTTACCCTTTCTTTGTAACTACTGGCCTTGCCTGACCTCTTCATTGCAGACAACTTTTTGCCCATCATGGCTTCCTTTTGTCTGTCTGGGATGTTCTTGTGTGTGCTTTGGAGTGTAGCTTGATGTTCATGAATTGTTGGGTGCTCTTTGTCATGCAATGTGTGTATTTTACCACCGAGTTTAACAGATAGTTTTGGAGACTATGTTAGGCTAGGTTGAAAGTTGTTTTCTTTTTTTTTTGGTTCCGGGGATCTCACTCGGGACCTTGCACTTGTGAGGCAGGCGGCAGAACCACTGAGGTAAGTCCCCGGCCCAAAAGTTGTTTTCTTATGAGGCAGAGACTTCATCCTCCTGGCGAAGATAGTGGCCACGCCCTTCCTGCTGTGTGACTGCACTGAGCCCTTGGCACCTCTGCAATGGGCTCCCTCCCTCTGTTCTGCTGCCTGTCTTCTGGTTGCCCTTCGTGAGCCACAGGCCAAGTGTCAGCTTGGTAGTTGTTTGAAGATTGCTGTTGCAGCTGGAGGGAAATCTGTCATGAACCTCTGGGAGTTTGGGAATCTCACAGAAGTAACTCAGAAAATGTGATCTACACAAGCAGAATGCAGATGGAGACAATGCAGTTTTGGGGCAGGTTTCTGCATGAACCAGGACATGCGGAGGGTGCAATTAGCCACGAAGCTGGGGCCAAACAAAATAGGAAGAGCACACACTTGGAAAGTAGGAAGCCAAACCAGGAAGACAACAGTGTGCTCCATTATGCTGTGACTCCTGGAACCCAGTTATAAATGCTGCCCAGGGAGGAGGCTGCAGATATCACCGACTCCTCCCAGCCACAGCCACCTCAGCCACCATGTGCCACACCAGCTGCTCCTCGTGCTGCCAGCCGGCCTGCTGCGTGTCCAGCCCCTGCCAGGCTGCCTGCTGCGTGCCTGTGAGCTGCAGGCCTGTCCTGTGTGTGACCCCCTCCTGCCAGTCCCCGGGGTGCTGCCAGCCCTCCTGCCAGTCCTCCCTGTGTGTCCCTGTGAACTGCGGGCCCTCAGTGTGCCTGTCCCCCTCATCCCAGTCCTCGGGGTGCTGCCAGCCCTCCTGCCCCACCCTCCTCTGCAACCCTGTCTCCTGCGGCACCTCCACCTCCTGCTGAACTCAGGGGCCCATGCCAACTCCTCAGTGCAGAGATGACACTTCTTTGACCTCCCTGTGCCAGGCTTCTGGGCTCCAGGTAGAGCCTTGAGGTGACAGGAAGACTGCTGAGCTGAGCCACTGGACTCTGGTCTGAAATCCAGCAGAGCAGTCCAGAGCCTCCTCTCCCTGTGCATCTCCAGTGAATATTCTGTTCCCAGCCTCCCCCTGTATCATGTGGGAGCCCAATAAATGCATTTCCCCAGAGCAGCTCTGTTTTCCTGTGCTTCCTTTTATGCCCAGATTTCCTGCCAGTCCTGTGTTCGGATTCCCTGTTCTGCATCTTGATGTAGGTCAGAGTCCTGGGGGCTGGGAGTGGCCTGAAGATGTTGAAGTCCTGAGACCCAGTGCTGAGGTGCCCATGACCCTGGCGGGTCACAGTCCCACAGTCCCTCACACAGTCCCCGATCTGTCCTGCTCCCCACCACCCACAGGCTGTGTCCTCCAGGTGTCCTGAGAGCAGACACTGAATGGAGACAGCGCAGGGAGTGCTGGGCTCGCTGTCTCCCTCTCCTCGGGTGTCCTGGTGCCCAGCCTGGAGACTTCCTTCCAACAGAGAGACTTTTGACTCAGGGTTTCAGGCTCACAAAACAGGATGAGCTTCATATCACTCCTCTTCACTCTTCCACAGATGTCCATTTTTTTGGAATGAAAACTAATTCTCATGGTAACAAAGCATGCACATACTCTCTTCCCAATATAGAAACCAGAACACAGGGTCTGTTGCCAGTCTTGTCTTGGGGCAGCTGCTGCCCGGTTCGTGCTTACTATTCTGTGTCTTCTAAAGGACCGTCTGCATTGTGTCTGAGGTGGGAACTTTTGAATTTGGTGATTTCCAGTGACTGAATCTTCTGGGAGTGGGTTTTGTCCTCCGTACCCTATGAGTGAAACTCCACATTGCCTACGGCACACTTCGTCCCTCTGTGTCCCCCAGGTCCCTTGTGATGTCTGGGTCCAGGTCCTGGGAGGTGCCAGGCCTGTGGTCCCTGGCTCTGCTCTTCCAGGTGGTGCAGTCAGGCACCTCTCTCACTGTCACTGTTGGCTTCCTGGGGCTCCCACCCTTCATTCATGCAGGAGCCTGTGCTGAGCTCTGAGTTGCAAAGCGAGTTCTAGTCTTTTGTCCAAGGCGGTCTGGACGGATTGTGTTGTTTGAAAGGGCTTTGGATGGGAACGATCAGCGTGGACGTACACACTGCTGTATGTGCACACACACCCCCACATACGCTCCCTCTATGAACGCCACGTGCACACCCGGGCACACACACAACTCAGGACTCTCGCCTGCGCTCACACACACACAAACTGGGAGCTGGGGTGAGACTGCAATCAGCAGGAGAGGTAGAGGGCTTCCCTGCACCTCCTGCTGGGGCTCAGGGGCGGGAGACTCTGTCCCACTCAGTCCCACCTCCAGGTCCTGCTCATCCACGCAGCCTGGTTTCAGGAAACAGTTTCAGAGCATTGCAGGTTGTGTTTAAAATGTCCCTGTAAAGGCCAGTGTGGCAACAGCTTGGTCACAGGTGTGGCGGTGTCCAGGGGTGAGACTGGGGGGTGTGGAGCGTCGGACTCTGACATCATCAGGGGTTAAGCCACTGTTCCTCCGTGCGGGGGGATGGTGGGAGGTGGGGCCAGGTGGGAGGTCTGTGCTGCTGGAGGTGCCCAGGGCGTGTGGTGTGTCTCTGGAGCCTTCCTTGCTCTCTCTGCTTCCCAGCTGCCCAGGTGAGCAGCTCTGCGCTGCCACGTGCTCCCCAATGATGTCCCCCGCACAGCGGGCCATGCGGCCTGGACTGAAGCTCTGCACCTGCCATCAGCGCTGCCACAGGTGTGTGTTTCTGTGGGGCCTGCCTCAGGGAGCACATCGTGGGTCTCAGGGGCGCCTTTGCTCAACCCGCAGGATCATGTGAGCAAGGACTTTTTGGTGGGTCCATGAAGCACTCCTGCCAAGTCGTATTTTTGCTGGGAGCTCCGAGAGTTCCAGTTGCTCCGCCTGGACCTACTGATTTTCTGATTTTGATTTTTCAGTCAGACCTACTGAAGTAGAACTCACATGCAGTACACGTTATTCTCTGGAGGTGGACTTTCAAGATATGTTTAGAAAATGCACAGCGTCTGTGCCCCACAGTCGAGGTCTGTGGAGCATTGGCAGGGCCCCCACATTCCCTCTGTCCTTTGTTGTCAGCCCCACAGATCTTCCCAGGCCTAACATCATATAAATGCACTCCTACAGTGGGAAGCCTTCTCGTCTGCGTCGTTGCCTTTGAACAATGCATTGAGATTCACCTACGCGGCTGCAGGTATGGGCACTTTTCTCCTTTGCCTTTATTGAGTGGAAGCATCTGGTCTACCACGGTTCATTACCCATGGAGCAGGTGATGGGCATTTATTTTGCTTTGATATTTTGGTTATTCTGAATCAATTCAATATGAAATGCAGGCCAAGGTTTATGCAGGGTCGCTCTCTTCCCCTTGGGTGACTGTTGATCAGCAAACAGCTGGGTTCCTCTGTGCCTGTCTGGGCAAAGGCAGCTTCATGGGAAGTCTTGAGGGTGGCAGCATGAGCTCTCCAACTTGGCTCTTCCTTCCAGAAGTTGTTTGGGCTCTTGCTTAGGCACTGAGATTCTTTGTCTCCCCATAAAGATATTAGGAGAAGCATATTGAGCTCCATGGCAGTTCATGCTGGGATTGTGAGTGAGCGTGTACCAAAACTATAGAACAAGGTGGGGAGAACTGACATCCCCAGCAATCCATCAACATAGTCTGTTTATTTGGTCTTCTTTGCTTTCTCTCATCAATATTTTGTCACTTTGGCATGGAACATCTGTACACTTCCCCATCGAGATTTATCCCTAAGTGTATTGTAATTTTAGATGCTATTATAACTGAGACTATTTTAAATTTCAGTGTCTAATGGTTCATTGCTAGTAGAGTAAAATAAAATTGATTTTTGTATAGTGGCCTTTATTCTTTGACCTTGCTAAACTCATTAGTTCTAGTAACTTTGATGTAAAATTTTTGAATTTTTCTAGGTAGGCAAGTATGTAGTATGTAAATAGAGACTTGTAAGTGTTATGTGTAAGGGGACCCAGATGGTCTTTCACCAGCAAATATGCTATCGGCTGTGTATGTCCTTTAAAAGACACTCCTTTTAATTCCTACTTCAGTGTAGATATAGAATTTTATTCTGAAGAGATACTGAATTTTTTCAGGTGCTTTTTCTGAATCTATTGAGATGATCATTGGATTTTCCTCTTTGGTCTGTTGATGTGGATTATATAAGTTGATTTTTGAGCATTGAACCAACCTTGTATTTTTGGGATAAATCTCATATGCCCATAAACTTTTACTTCCTTTATATATTTTTGGATGTGATTTCTAGTATGTTACCAAAACTTTGTATATCCACATTCATGAAAGATATTAGTGTATATTTTTGTGATGTTTTAGTCCAATTTTGGTATCAATGTTATGCTGGCCTTATAAGATGAACTGAGAAGGGTTCCTTTCCTTCTTTTTTCTGGAAGAATTCATGTAAAACAATTAATATTTCTTCCTTAAATGTTTGGTAAAATTTATCTGCATAAACATTTTGTCCTGGAGTTTTCTTTGTTGAGAATTTTAACTACAAACTCAATTTTTAAAATAAATATGGAACTATTGAGGTTATCTATTTCTCTTGAATGAGCTTTCATAATTTTGCCTTTTAAGCAATTTGAATATTTCATCTAAGTTATCAAATGTAATCTATGTAATTATCTATGTAATTCCCCTGTAATCTTTTTTTTCTCATGACCAGGGATTGAACTCAGGACCTTGCGCTTGTGAGGCAGGCACAGCACCGCTGAGCTAAATCCCTGGCTTCCCTGTAATCTTTTAATAAGTGTAAGATCTGCAATTATGTACTTTTTTCATCCTTAATACTGGCACTTTGTATCTTCTCTTTCTTTTTAATTATCCTGGCTGGAGGTTTATCAATTTTATTGCTCTTCTCAAAGAAGCAGCTTTTGGTTTTATTGGGTTCTGCCCATGCCCCCCCCCCATTCTCCTTTTTGTAGCATCATTGATTTTTTTCTGATTTTTTTTTTTTTTTTTCTTGGTACCGGGGATTGAACTCGGGACCTTGCGCTTGCG